TCTCTCTCTCTCTCTCTCTCTCTCTCTCTCTAAAATCAATTTTTTAAAGTAACATTTCCCCCCAAATATTTTGATCCCTAATTGGTTGAATCTGCAGGTGCAAAACCAGCAGATATGGAGGGCTGACTGTATTGCCTGAAGTTCTGTTCACTGAAAGGATTTCCCTTCTCCAATATCTTTCAGGCCTTCCTATAGTGCTGCAACCATCCACTTCCAATTGGTTCCAGGCCTGAGCTTTCTCTTCCTCCATCAATTGATCACAGGGTATTTGTTATGGGGCCTTAGGTATTGACTGAGGAAGAGGTGGCAGTGTGGTAGGAATAGGTGACAGTCTCACTTGATAGAATGCTGCGGTACATGTCTAGCTTTATAGCTTGATGGATCAGATGACACCCAGTCCACGATGGGCAGTTCAGTTTGCATAGTCACTTGGTGTCTCATGGTCAGGTATTAGGTCTCTACCACAGCCCAGTAGCAAGCCAGACACTATATTTTAAAGGAATAATTGTTATTTGTAGAAGAAGACATGACTTTGTTCCAAGTTCTAGGGATGGGCAGAGATTTTCCTATTAGGGCTTCTGGGGGCTAAAAGGAAATGTAAATTTTAAATATCACAGACAACTTAAACACCATTGGATCGACTGGGTCATGTGGCTCAATTGGCAGAGCATCTTGCACTGCGGCCTAAATCTGCTTTGGGACCCATTCAAAATTGGCTGTCCTATGTATGGGTTACTCAGTGAATGGGTTGGAGCAGCACACAATTGCATGTACATTCCCTCCCAAATCCAAAGAGGGCTACCAGTTGTGCTTTTTTCTTAGGGACCAGCAACTTGCCTTTTACTTGGAAGGGATAACCTGGCGTTTCCTAACCTCTACGTCCCTAGAAACTTCACCAGGTGCCAGGCTTCTGAATGTCCATGGGGTTCATATACCACCCTCTGACATGCCTGGGTCTTCCTAAAGTATCTAGTGCACCTGCTATCTCCTGCTCACCGGGTACAGCAAGATGTCTTCAATGTGGTGGATCAGTGTTTCCTTAGGGGGACGTCAGGATAATCCAGGTCTCTACAGACTAGATCAGCAGTCGCCAATCTTCCAGACTTCCCGGACCGCCAGTGGTCCACGGACCACCGGTTGGCGACTGCTGCTCCAACGGTTTCCTTAAACCAGTGGTTGCCAACCTTTCAGACCTCACGGACCGCCAGTGATCCGCAGACCACCGTTTGGCGACTGCTGGACTAGATGATGACAGAGAACAGAAAAGCTGACATGCACTGTAAGAAAGTGAAGATATGCTGCTTACTGCTGCCCTGCCAAGTAGAGCTAAGGGCTTTTGGTGGCCCCCACTGATAGGATAACATTTTCCAGACCAAGAGCTGAATGCTAAGTGTCAGAGATGATGCTGATTTGCTTTTATATAGAAACCACATCCGAAAAAATTGTACCACCTGATGGAGTTACAGTGCCCAGGCTTATGAGAGAGACATTCATTAGGTAAAGATAAATCTCAATAATAAGCAGCCCTCATAGTTGCCCGATATTTTAAAGCTTATAAATTATTTTCCGGGGGGGGGGGGTGGTTATGAGGGGATGAGGTCACATATGTAATACTTTAATCAATTAAGAAATAAAGATTGAAAAAAAATATATTGTCCCATCTATGATTTCATTAAGCCAGTCAAAGACTAGTGAGGTAGAAAGAATTATCCCCCTTTCATAGATGAGTAGCAAGCCCGGAGAAGCTAAGTTACTTGCCTAAGATCACACAGCTGAGGAGTTGGTAGGCAGGATTTGGATGCAATCTACTTGTTCAAGTGCAATGCCTCTAAAACTCCAGATGAGAGTCCGTTTATACCCCACCCACTCACCCCTGCCTCAGTCCCCAGCTGCACAGGGATACCTGGCAAAGACAGCATGCTCAGTCAATGCAAGCAGAGGCAAGAAGGGATGAAAGGAGTGGTTGGGAAATGGGCCACAGCAGCCCGGTAGGGCAAGGCCTGAATAACTTTGCTCCAGTAATTAAGATGCTAATCAGGGTGGCTCCCAGGCACCCCTACCTACTTACCTCCTGAGCACTCAGACACACATTCCCCAGGCAGCCAAAGCAGAGAAGACAGGGGAAGTAACAAGGCTCCATGATAAGGCTTCCAGTCAGTCTCCCCAAAATATGCAGCCTGGAAACCAAGACCAGGCAGCCCTTGGATTGCCTGTGAATGGACAGCACCTCAAACGGGGGGTAAAAAAGGGGAATGCTCTACTTTGGCCAAAAGGACCCCATGGATACACGACTATCCTTTCCTTTTAGCTCTCCTGGAAAACTTGTCTCTTGCTCTCCCTCACCCTCTAGTTAATCTGGAAACTAGAATGCTGCCTTAGAGACTCCGTTCCCATGCTAGATCACTGGGACATGGCCTTCCCCATTCGTTGACTACATTTTAACTACCTCTGAGTGGATCAAAATGGAAACACCTACAGCAATGGGGTTTCCTCTGTCCCGATTTTAAAGTGGTTACAGTAATGAGGGCACATTAGGGACTTACTGTGCACTTGAAAGACATTTATATAGCACCACATATATACTAGGTCCTATTCTAAGACTTTACAAATATCAATTCAATTAGTCCTCACAACAGCTATATGAGGTAGGTACTTATATTACCCCATTTTACAGATGAGGAAACCAAGGCTAGATGTTAAGGAACTGTTGAAGGTGACACAGCCAGTGTGTATGGCAGAGCCAGAATTAGAACCCACGCAGTCTGGCTGGAGTCCATGCCAACCTCCCCCACTCCTTCACTTGTCTAAGAGCTTTGTGTAAATCATCTGCCTGAGCTGTGACAATGTTAGGGCAGTTGGGGGGCACTCTACTTCTGAGCCCAGCACCCTGTTTGGAGTTGCTCATTTTATTGTCTGTGCCCAACTAGAGTGTAAACCTCCTGAAAGCACCATGTCTCTTCAAATGAATGTGGTGCCTAGCACAGTGCCTGGTTTACTTGAAGCTTCTCAATTACTGGGGCAGTGAATGTTGAAAGAGGTGAGGCACTATCATCCCCGTTTACAGAGGCTCAGAGACTAACTTGTTTGAGGGCACACAGCTGAAAGTTACAGTCAGCACAAAACCAAGTCTTCCTGCCAGCAGATTCCACACTAAATATAACATTTATTCTTTGTGGTGACTGCATTATATTGCTAATACAGAGTTACCATAATTTATTTAACTGATTGGCATTTGAGCTGACACTTTTTCACTGTAACAGAGCTGCATAAGAACTTTGCAGCTTATCTTTGTCCACTTCTACAAGCATTTCCATAGCCCAAATCCTAGACTGAGATTGTTGGGTCTACACAGTTCAAGTTTGGCTACTACTAGGTTATCATTTAAACAGGTTGTACCAATTTACCACCACACCCCAAGGTATGAGAGTACCTGTTTTCTGTGCTGTGTGTTCAACTTTAAAACTTGCCAGAGGGGACAATTTCTGAAGATGACTATACTGCACAGGGTTTCTCTTAACAGAAACTACCTTCTCCTTAATAGCTATGAAAAATGGTTTGATTTTGGAGACTTTTTAAAAAGAATTCTGTAGGTCACCCCTCTTGGAATTAGGTTCAGCTTCCCATGTCCAGAAACCCCGTATGAACCCATGCAAAGGTCTGAACGACAACAGGCTGCCAACGCAGAGAAAAGGGGGGGCTGTGATAAGTGCATCTAGAGGGCCGCTCCTCCGTCACTCACCCAGGAAACCAGCTGCCACCTCAGCTCCGAGTGGGAGTTTCTTTTCACGTTGTTTCCTAAAATAAAAGTCATAACCAGCTTGGGAGAACTTGTCATCAAACAGCACAGAGAAACAGAATAGAGTAGGAGAGTTGGTGAGGTTGTTCAGTCCACTATCATCATTTATGAGCTACAGAAATGGAGACCCAGAGATGTTGAGTCATTGATTCAAGGTCACACAGAAAATCCGAAAAAGCAGTGGTGGGAGCCGGCTCAAACAGTCCTGTCAGTCTGCCTTCCTTCCATCTCCGTGGCTTTTGAAAATGATGGGAGAGTTAGGTTTCTTGAGAAGGGACATCTGAGTGAAAATTATGGCAGCATAGCTGTGTCCTTGGGCATGCTGTTCTTACTTCCTTGGAAGCCCTTCTCTGTCTGACTGCTCGAACTCCTCCTCATCCTTCAAGACCCAAAAGAATTGTTAGGTTCTGTGAAAACATTCCCTCATTTCCCAGCGCAGCTGGTTGTCCACTGCTTTATGTTCCCATGCCCTGACCTTAACCAGCACTCAGACACTTTATGGTGAAAATTCCTTGAAGGAATGGGTGTATCTAATTTACGTTTGCAACCCCAGCACACACCTTAGGCTCCAAAGGGACTGACTTCGGACCACACAGTCCAAGAGGGAGGGAATCTACCATCCTTCCCAGCTCCTGGCTCACAGTATGAGCTCAAGAGGGTTCATTGCTGCTGAAAGAACGTGAACAGGAAAGTTGCTGTGTGAGGAGATTCTAATCCTGGAGCCATTGAGCTTTCGACAGACACTACCTGGGGTTGCCCAAGTAGGTCAGGCTGGCAAATGAGTGGGCACGAAAAGGCACAAATAGCCTTCACCCGCATCTAGGTCTCCAGGCTCTGAGGCACGTTCAAAGATGACCTCATTTGAGTGAACTTTGTAAACGCTCTTTGGTGTTACTTCCATGAGGCTTACCTCTTCTCCTGCCAAGAAAACTGCTCCCACATCTGGCTGATCCAGAGGCCAGGACTCCAAGACACGGATATGGGGGAGGGAAGGAGTAAATCAAGCTAAATACATGACTGAACACATATTTAGTTTACAGGACTTAGGAGAGAAAAAAATAAAATTAACTACAGCCATGAAAAACTCTATGTACAATGAGTAGCTCAACAAAGAATTAATGCTACTTTCATAAAGTGGGCTGAGCTTTACTGGTTGCAGACTTCCTTAAGGGTATTGGAAAAGAACACGCAGAAGCTGGAATGCGGTATTTCATTATCTCCAGTTTACTTAATTTGCTTGTTTACACATACGATCTGTGTGTATATAACAGTGGCAAGAGCCATTCTCTAAATACAATCTGGTACTCAGACTATGACAGATGCATGTGGAAAACGAGGCGTCGGTGAATGAACCTCCATGTGGAAAGGCAAAACAAGCATGGCGGTACTCTGGGATCACAGATGCCCTCAAAAGCCTCTTGTTCAGCGCCTGGGGACAACACACTTTTCAAAAGACAATACAAGCCTATTTCAACAGGAGACACAGACCCCCAAATGGCACTCAAAAGATGTTAGTTTCCCTGCCTTCTCTGGAGGAGCCAAAAAATTTTAAAGGGCTTAATCAAGAAAAAGGGGTAGGGGACTATACATGTGCTGGGCATTTTACACGCATCATTTCCCTGAATCCTAACAGCATCACCTCTGTATTATACCAGGAAAATGAGGCTTGCCCATGGTCAGATGGCACTCAGCAGTGGTATCAAGAGTTGAACCCACATCTCGTTTGCCTAAGCCCAAACTCAGCTGCACCAAACTGTCTCACATAGGGACAGAGGGCATGCTCCCAAGAAAAAGGCAAGGGTGCTAAGAATGAGCAGGAAGCAGTGGAAGACTAATCAATGTGCAAGGCTCAGTAATGGATACTTTCTGCAGAGTTATTGAATGCTCAGCTTGACTCAGACCCAGACGAGAAAAATGTCTAGAGATTTAAGTGTGACAAATGAACTTCTGGAGTCACCTTGTGCCTGTTGCCTTTTGGTGCTGAACATGAAACTTTGGAGAGATTTCAATCCCTTCCACAAGCTCCTGCTACCTACCCCATCCCCACTTCCACCCCACTCCCACTCCACAGAGCAAAACTAATCTTCTGGGGCCACTGCCCTTTACCAATGTCCCCAAATCACCAGGGTGACACCTCCAAAATTTCATTGCCAGTGTTTCTGTTACCTTCTTCGGGTACAAGGTAACACACCTCACTTTTTTTTTTAATAATCATCTTTTTTTTTAATTGGTTTCAGAGAGGAAAGGAGAGGGAGAGGTAGAAACATCAATGGTGAGAGAGAATCATCAACTGGCTGCCTCTTGCACATCCCACACTGAGGATCAAGCCTGAAACTTGGGCATGTGCCCTGATGGGGAATCAAACCCTGACCTCCTGGTACATAGGTTGATACTCAACCACGGAGCCACACCAGCCCCGGGCCACCTCACATTTTGATTGATACAAGGTAACTTGCAGCTCAACTGGATACACAGGGGATACGAACTTCCTATTTTAAATAAATCATTATATGAAATACAACGTACCCTGAAGGTTTTCCAGAGCTCAAGCTTCTAACACCTGAACTTGAGTTAAGCCAGTGAGTGCAGTGCTTATCTGTATGCTATTAACTGGGAGGGAATGGGGGCATCAAAGAAGCTTCAAAGATGATTATCCAATATGCAAGGGGTTCAGTCTGAAAGGCTTAAGGAGACAGCCTAGGGGAGGGGAAGAGGGTGTAACTGTGCCTTTGTGAGGGGGAGGTGACAGGATTTCTAATCCTTCCCAGCATTCTCACAATCAAGACCACAGAATCACAAGGTGGGAAATTGAGAAGGGCTGCAAAGGGGACATAAAAGGGGGTTCCAAGACCAATAGAATAGGCCCAGATAAGAGGAGGGTGGAACCAAAGTCATGCCAACATTTGATAAGGACATCTGTGCAAACAGCTTAGTTTCTTGCCATCAAAGGCAATGGAAGACATATCCCTTCACTTCTGACTTATCATAATCATATCCAAAAGGTAAAAATGCTTTAGGCCACAGCAAATGATCAACATACATATGTCTCTGAAGCATAGGTCAGTTTATATACCAATGACATGTGATCAGGAAAGTTTCAGTGCAATTACACATTTTGTAAAATTACTCTGACTTGGCTTAAAATTGATCAAGTTGTTATTAAAATGTCTACTTCCTGGTTTTATTCTTAACAGAGAAAAGAGCCTCACAAGGTAGAATTTATTACCATAAAGCCAAGAGTTTGGTTTATAAAAAGTTAGTGTTCTAAAAAAAAAAAAAAAACCCTCAAAGCAATCTACACACGTGTGCCAAAGTGCAGCAGTGGAGTTTGAGTTATTTTCAGGAGTTTCGTCAACAAAGAACAAATGCAGAGTTGTTATTAAAAACTATAAAGCATTCACTCAAAATAAAGAAAAGTTAACCTTATTGCTTCAAACACCAATATATACAGTAGACAACATGACAGAAGATTCTCTCCGTTCATTATATGAAAAGCATCCAATATTCGCTTGGAGAGGCACTCCAGTTTAAGTGTTCTGATAGCTAATCACAAGCCAGTTGTAATATTTAACATTCCACAGATGAAACAAATATTAAAACCACTGTCTTTCAGGCAACAGTTGGTTACTTTGACCCGAGAGAAATATTGTCAAATAACAGCATCAACAGCCACTAAAACAAAAGGAAACTAGAATCAGGGAGAGAACAAGGGCAGCAGAGGAGTCCTGAGGCCCCGGCCTCCCCTTCAGCCACACAAAGGAGGCTTTCCTGATTCTGCACTCTCACTGAGCCTAAGTGCCCTCCAGGGACAAAAGGGACAGTCCAGATTAAGGTCAAGTCTTGCCAGGGACAAAAAGTGCCTGACTGGAAATGGTGGCGCTTGTGACACACAGCGATGTCGCCAAGAACAGTCTGGAGGGTGAACTCACTTCCCAGACTCCACCATCACCCACCAAAACTGCCTGGTAAGCTTCCTCTCTGATGTAGGATCAATAATTTAGCCAAATAATTAAGAAAAATAAATGAAAAATATATTACCCATTGTCCTGCTGTCACTCCTTTTGTTTCTCTTTTATTTCTTATAACTGTCTTGCTTCAAATTCAAACGAGAGGTCTGGGGAGGAAGTCCTGGGGAAAAAGACTTCAGATACCAAAACCCATATGTCCCATACCAGCCCAGCAAACCGAACAGGGTGCCAAATACTTTCTGGGACAGGTTGTGGAAATAAACAGCAGTGCACAGAAACATCCACACCCAAATGAGGGTCAGGAAGCCCAGGGCGACGACCAGGCCGGTGATGGCGGTGTGGAGGCTGTGGCTTCGGTCCGTCTTCACCTCATGCAGCACAGCCATCTCCTCCACAATCATGAGGGCACAGAAGGTCAGCAGGAAGGAGTGGCCTGAGATGTCAAAGCCGTGCCAAAAGCCCCCTTCCTGGTGGCACTGCTGCTTATTCTGGTGCTCCTTTCTGAGCCCCTCCAGGGCTGGGGACTGGTAGCAGCTGCCCGTGTAGTGTTCAACACTGGAGAAGATGACAGTGCAGACGTACCAGATGGCCGTGCCCACAAGCAGGGTGCTCAACCGCCGCAGGACCAGGCCAGCCTTGCCTGTCAGGTGATAGTTGGTGAGGGCAATGAAAGGCAGGAGGAGACAGAAGGTCCAGCCCCAGGCCACTTTGACAAAATACCTGGCAGAGGAGGAGAGTGGAAGTGAAGAGAGGGCACATGGCAGAGAGGAAACAACGTCACAACCCAAAGCTACAGATGACAACTTACTAAATATGTTAAATGTATTAACTATTTAGTCCTTAACAACTGCATATGGTAGGGACTGTTATTATTCCCATTTACAGACAAGAAAACTGAGGCCCAGAGAGGTATCATGCCTAAAGTGGAGATCACAAGCCATGGAGCTGGGATTCAAATCCAGGGTCTGTGATCTTAAGCACTATGCTATTTGTCCAGGAAAGTAGTAATAACTGAGCATCTACCATAGGCCAAGAGCTTTCACCTACCTCACTTTCCCACAGAACACTCACGCTCCCGGGAGGAAGGTATCAGTTTCCCCATTTTAGAGATAAAGAATCAGACTCAGAAAAGTTGAAAAACTGGCCCAGGGTCATACTCACACAACCCACAAGCGCAGATGAAACCAAGGTTTGGCCAGTCCCAAAGCCCGTGCTTTTTCTACACCAGGGTTCCTTCCTGTGTGGCAGAAAACGATCTCGGAAAAGAGGCTGACTTCACACTAGAAGATCAGACTCAAATCCTGACTCTGACGTGCCTTATTGCCACACTTCTCTAGGCCTGTGTCCTCAGCTATCAAATAGCACTGAGGGGAACCCAGTGATTTTTAAAATCCCTTCCCGAGCCCATGACTCCCTGGTTCCTTTCCGTGAATTAGCACAGAAGCTTGGTACAAAACGCCAGGATCCATGGCTACTGGCAAACAACAGGGCCTTGTCTGCCAGGCTGCTTGGCTCCCACTCTCCCAGGCCGGATAAAGCAGCAGCTGCCTCCTCTGCCTCCCCTGTGCTGTCAAAGGTGGCTGACCCGGGGACCAGCGGCAAGAGACTTGGGGCGACTACCACTCTCATCACCTAGTCTTAGTCCAGCCTCCACATGGGTGAGGAAGGAAGGTGGCCATGCCCTGGGTTCCAAAGGTGTCTAAGACACCACCCAGGGCCTCTCCTAAACGTTTCCCCTGAGACGAATACTCACAGATCTTGCCAGAGCCAACACCTGGCAGGCTTTTGACAAGGCTGCTGGGGACAGAGAACAGGGTTTTAAGTCGATAACTGAAGTTGGGTTGATTTGGAGAGACGCTGCTGACACTGTAATTCTAAAGAATCCAGGGCCACAGCACCAGGAAGAAATGTCAGCGTTCAGCGTTTACCTCCTGCAGTAGTGTTTTTGTGCAATAGTCCAGGAGTTTAAAAAAGAAAGAAAGAAATCAAAAGCAGTGAGTGGGTGCCGTGAAGGCGATATCTCGAAGAGCCCAGCTGGATGGCTTTCCTGGGTCCCTGCCATGAACTCTGAGTGGCTGGGAAAGTCCAAGGAGATCCAGGGGAAAGGGCAGAGCCTGGAGGGCTCCACGCCTCCGAGGTTACCTTGCAGGGCGGGCTCCGTCCTAGGCTGGGACCCGGCTCTCCAAGCGGAGCGGGGGCGGGTCTTTCACCGGCGGTGATGGAACTGTCAGACGCCGGGGGACGGGGGTCACGGTGGCGGCATGGGGACTGACACCGGCAGGCAGCAGGGAGGGGGCATCTCCCCAGGGCAGGGGCCAACTCCTGACTGCAAGGGGAGGCGGGGGAGCAGCGACCTCGGCGGGTTCACCCGCTCCCCGCCCTGCGCCCCTGCATACACACGGTCACACACCACCCTGCTCGTCACCCGCCCAGGCTGTCCGGACTGGGTGTGCACGCCGAGCTGCTGGTGACACTAGCTGTGCCGGGGTCCGCCGGCCGCGACAGGCGTGCAGATGCTCTCACGATCGGGAGGACTTCCCCTTCCACTGACCCGGCCATCAGAGCAGCTAGCCCCCAGCTCTGGACGAGGCGACAGCTGGGCGGCTATGGCGGGGGCAGGAGGACCCAGGGCGCACTCACACGTTGAGGACGTTGCGCTTGTTGCTGAGGTAGCTCTCGGGCAGCGGGGAGAGCTCCTTGAGAAGGGAGCCCGCCAGCATGGAGGCCACCAGCGCCCAGGGCAGGTAGCGCCGCACGGCAGCTCGCACCAGCGTCCCCCTGAGGAACCACGCGCAGCGCTCTACGTGCTCCATGCCGGACCTCGTCGGCCACCGTCCGCCGCCCTGTGCGCTCTCGGCCACCGTCACGCCCTGAGCCTAGTCCGGAACGCCGCCTCCCTCCGGCGCATGCGCACAGCCCGCGGGCCCCGCCCCCGAGGAGCGCTCGGGCCCGCGCGCTCCCCTTCTCGGCCGTTGGCGGCATCAGAGCGCGCCGGTCTCCTAGCTCCGGGCTCCCCGCCTCTCGCTTCCCTCAGTCCTGCTCCGGGCGACACGCTCCTACTGTGCAGGTTCGAACCCCGGCCTCCGCGTCCTGCTCTGGTCTGGGGAAAAGGCGCCCGTGGGAGTATTTGCTGGAGGTGGGAAGAATAGATATCGCTCTGTGGGAATTAGAACGGCGGCCACAGCACCAGTTAGTCTCTCCTGGAGACGCGAGGCACCCCCTCCACCCGAGCCTTCTGTAAAATGGCGAGACAAGAGGAGAATAGTCCTTCCCAAAAGTTAGCTTGTGAACTCGAGGGCCATGATGGTGATCCAGTTATAGGGACGTGAGATCAAGTCCCATTAGAAAATAAATGTGTAAAACAACTATTAAATTTAAATTATTAAATTTATTTTCATTTTAAAAACACTTATTTGTAGTGAGTGAAAATGCTGGTCCGGGGCCTGTTAAGGAGCTCAGATGAGGGTATTGGGAACTCAGTCCTCAGCTTATCACGGAGCGAGATCCTCTGACTCCCTGGCATGGCGGGCGGGTGCCTCATTCCGCGTTTCCCACCCCGGGGTCATCCCTTTGCTACTGGATCAGTTTCCTGGGGCCGTCGTAGCAAATCACTGCAAACCTGATGGCCGAGGGGAACAGAAATGCATGGCCTGCCACGTGGGGGCCAGCAGCCTGAGACGAAGCCGTGGGCAGGCCCGGTCCTCGCGGAGGCCCTGAGGCCGGTCCCCCAGGGCGCTCTCCTCGCTCCGGGCGCTGCCTGTCAGCCCCTGGCGTTCCTGCCGCTGTACAGCTCCCGCCTCCCCTGTCTTCACGCGGCCCTCCTCCCCCTGCGTCTTCTCTCCTGTTTCTGATCAGGACACTAGGCATTAGCTTTAGAGGGCCACCCTCAGTCCAGGATCATCTCATCTCGAGACCCATAGATCTCGAAGACCCTATTTCCAAACGAGGTTACATTCCCAGGTGCAGTTCTTCCCAACTCCATGATCAGTGACAGTCGCCAGGTTGGGAGTATTTACACCAAGGAAATTGGCAGGCGCTACAAATCAGGTGCAACTGGAAGCTACAGGTTGGCGGCTCTGCATGCAAGAGCCCAGCAAAAGTCAATGAGAGCATTCTGTGAGAATTGCTTAGCTATATGGGATTTACAACAAAGGATGTTGGCTTATTTCATTGTTTCTAAACTATGTGCTACATATTTTTTATATTAAGAAAAATCTATAACAAACTTATGTACATGTATACTTACACATTTCCCAACAAATCACTGGTTGTGGTCCAGTCCACACATAAAAGTACATATGTAGCATATAAATAAATATATATGCTAATGGATACATAGATAATAGCTATAAATATAGTTTTATGACAGCTTGTGACAGAATTTGCCTCTATTCTGTGTAAGGCGCTCTGATATTTTCTATTCAATTATAAATTCAATTAAGAATGCTGGTTATGACCCATAGGATTAATTTTACAATTCACTAATGGGTGGGGCTCTATAGTTTGAAAAACACTACATTAGATTTTAAAGCATGGGAGGATGGTGCTCTGCACTTCCCCACCAGAGGGTGATAGAGGACCACAGATACCAAGGTTCTGCCCTGCCTGAGACTTTCATTGGTATCACCTAACTGGTTTTCATTCCATTTATCTACTCAACAAATACTTGCCAGACGTATATGGTTCTGGCCTAAGGAACTTAAAATCTAGTGAGGGTGATAATAATTTATTCAGCCAACCAGCGTTTATTAACCATTTACCAAGCATGGGACTAGACGTTAGGACCTCCCATGTTTAATAATTTCATATTTAAGACAATTAAAAGATACAATTTCCCACATTTTCTTAAATGAAGTATGTTTTAATTGAGTTTAAAGAGAGAGGAAGGGGGAGAGAGAGAAACATCGTTCTGCTGCCTCCCCAACACATCCCAAGGGCGAATCAAACCCTCAACCTGGGCATATGCCCTGACCAGGAATTGAACCACCAACCCTCTAGTGCAGGTGCAGGGGACGACGCTCAACCAACTGAGCCACACTGGCCAGGGTACAATTTCCCAGAATGTACAAGTTGAGGCTGGACCATCTGGTCAAACCAGAAAGCAAGGAAGCAGCGAGCAATAAAAGACTGGCAAGGTCATTTCAGGAGGACACAGGAACCAACTAAAGGGCTCCCAAAGGCCAAAGCCGGGACAATTTGAGCATAAATGAGAATAATAACTGCCATGGATGGAAACACACATCTGTTTAAATCCATGGGTTCATAATGGCACTCAAAAAACATAATGGCCACTTTAGGAGGAATCAACTCATTATTTTGAAAACTAGTAAATAAGGTAAAGAATCAAGCATTTATTCTGCTGCTCCTATGGGAACTAAACCACTGAACAATGAAAAGGTAGATGAGTTTCTTGCTAAAGAAATATCTCAACTAATAAATATGTTCATAACGAGAAAAGTTTAATAAATACTGAGCAGCATTTTCCATTAAAGCTTTAAAAACCCATCACATACGGTTTAAAATTTTTATATCAGATTATCATAACTTTGACCTTTGTTCAGAATTTTATATTTTAGGTTTCTTAGAGTCAGGTTTTACAGAAGCACATGGCTTCATGTTTATAGAAATGGAGAACTAGAATGAAAAATATGTCTGCTACAAAAAAGTAATATTTTCTCATTGAATGCTAAATGTAATTTCATAAGCAAACCCTATATTTATGTCACTTGTTACAAGAGTTTCAAGATTATAGAATTTATCTTGAAGTCTGAGTTTCTCTTGGACAAATTAATAACCTGCCTTTTTATTTTTTTGAAAATCACTTGTACTTGTCTTTTTATTTTGATGGCAATGCTTTTGAAAAATATAAAATCACTAAATTTGTGGAATGGTTGATTGGAAATCATCTGAGCTTATGATTGTACTTTGGCCAGGCATGGATATATGTAAACTAGAGATTAAGTAAAAGGAAATGTAAGTTTTTACTGCTTTCAATAAAGAATTTTTCTTTTTTATAACCATATTATATTCTAATATCACTGATTCATAAGATTAAAGTCTGCTGGGGTAGAATACAAAAAGAATTTTTTTCCATTAGAAAAGAGGCTTCTATTCTGACAGTGATCTTGGTATGTTTTAAAGTAAATTGGCCTGGCCCAGCCAGTGTGGCTCAATGGTTGAGCATCTCCCTATGAACCAGGTGTTCACAGTTCCATTCCCGGTTAGGGCACATGCCCGGATTGTGGGCTTGATCCCCAGTAGGAGGTGTGCAGGAGGCAGCCGAGCAATGATTGATTCTATTCTCATTCTCATCATTGAGGTTTCTATCTCTCTCCCTCTCCCTTCCTCTCTGAAATCAATAAAAAAATATATTTTTTTAAAAGTAAATTGGTCTGTATCACTTGATTAAGTGGCAAAAACTAAGAGGTCTTTATGGATTAGGAATGCCATCAAAGTTTCTTTTTTAAACATACTTTATGATTTATTCATGTGTTTATTTTCTGTCTCTCCTACTTGAATGTCAGCCCCAGAGGGTAGGGAACGTTGCCTGTTTTATTCAATAATGCATCTCAAGCATCTAGAACTGTGTCTGGCAGCTACTAAACATGCAAAAAAAATTTTTTTAATATGTTAAAGAATCATTATTAAGCCCTAGCTGGTTTGGCTCAGTGGATAGAGCGTCGGCCTGTGGACCGAAGGTTCCCAGGTTCAAGTCCTGTCAAGGGCACGTACCTGGTTGCAGACTCCTCCCTGGTCAGGGCTCGAGCATGCACGAGGCAACCAGTCGATGTGTTTCTCGTACATCAATATTTCTCTCGGTCTTTCCCTCTCTCTTCCACTCTCTCTAAAAATCGATGGAAAAATATCCTTGGGTGAGGATTTAAAAAAAAAAAAGAATCCTTATTAATATGTGATGTAAAGGAAATTATTTTAAAATTTAAATTGCTTCTTTATGAACAGAAGAGAAACAATGGAAAATAATCATTATGAAATTGTAAACCACTGGGAAGGAGTCTTCTGGTCCATCAAGTTTGAAGGATGCTGAGGTAGAATGATAATAGGTTATGTAGAGGATGCTTGGGGCCATGAGGAGAAGACCCGATAGTAGGGATGGGGAGACTCAGGGAAGAGTTGTTGGAAGAGTTGATTTCTGAAGGATTGGCTGGAGTTGGCCAGAGGAACAGTGGGAAGAGATCATTCCAGAAAGAGCAACCAGCAGGTGTCCCTTTGTTGGCTAGTATGTGTGAAATAATTCACTCACTCTGGGTTGGCAGGGCAGATTGGCAGCCAGTAATTCTCCCAGGGGGCAGGCGGCCCTCTTTGTCTACAGCTCCTGGCCAGCCAGCAGAAGTATTCATCGCCTTGTACCAATTCCTTCCTTCTGAGCTCTCCCCTGCAATGCCTCCCCCATTCTTAACCTCTGGCCACCTCTTTTTCTGGCTGGATGATGGGATGACTAGTCACCCCCTGGGGTGAGGCAGTTGAGTAAAACCTTTGTCTCCAGAGGCGAGCCTGCCTGACTGCTTAACTGGGTGGGTGGGGGCGGGGGGGGGGGGGGCGGGGGTTGGGGATTGTATCTACTGGCTGTGCCTCCCAGTATACCACCTCCTGCTGCCCATTATCTGGGCCCGTTTGGGCACAAGGTCAGAAGGGCTGGTGGGGGAGGGAGGGAGGGCAGGAATGAGGGAGAGCAGTAGAAAGGGCTGCCAGGGACCCTAAGCCATCCCCAGCAGCCTTGAGGATCCTCTTGCAGACCCCAAACTGACCTATCTCAGGCCGTCACAAGGCTGAGGTCTGGGAGGAGGGGCAGTTGTTGCCTGAAAGAGTTGTTGGTAAAATTGGAAGGGCGGAGAGGGAGAGGGAAAGCAGAGAACTAGTATCC